GAGAGAGAGAGAGAGAGAGAGAGAGAGAGAGAGAGAGAGAGGCGGGGCGAAGAGGGTTAGTTGATGGTCACCTAGACAGCTGGAATCGGTCGCGCCTTGGGCGTGAGCCAGTCATAAGCAAAAGGTAGAAGTTGATACGAGGGTAAAGAAACAGAACAGGGAAAACGAGCGAGTGAGTTGACGACGAGAACAGAGATCGAGCGACGTTGATGCAGGAGCGGGGTAGGGTAGAGATAGAGAAAACAGCCGAGAGCGAGAGGAGGAGAGAAGCAGGAGCATGGTCTGTGGTCTGTGGAGGGCTGCGTTCACCGGGCAGTTACTCCGGAACCGTTGCCTTGACGACACGCATCCGCGCATGCGCGTATGCAACGCCACGGGTGCATCACGTCGCGTCAACAGCACCAGTTGCGTTCGCCACCCTCACCTTCGTTGCTATTGCAAACTTTCCTCCACCTCTACTGGAACCATCATCATTGTCGCTACCGCTGCCTTGCTGGTCTATCACAATCACAGTCGCAACTATTCTTCATTATCCTCCTCGTCCTCTTCCTCGTTGTCATTGTTCGCGCTGTCATTCACCACCAATATCGCTACCATCATCACCAGCACCATCACTACCAGTACTGACAGCACTCCATCTATCGCGTTGTTAAATGTTACCACCTTTGGTAATTGGTTGTTGTCATTGCTTCGCAGTTTATTATTTCATCGGTTGTTATCACTTTATTATTTTCAATATTATCTTTCCTTTTTCCCTTGCAAATTTAATATTACCGTATTTATGCAAACAACGAGATATACTATTCAAAAGGAAAGCATCCCGTATGGAGAACGCGTATCTCACATGTTACCATCGATATCGTCGTTGTCGTTGTGTTGTTTCTTTGAAAAGTTTGAATGCTACTATTCCATTTCGAGATTAGCCTCTACTTTCCGGTGGTAATCGCGTAGCTCGACCTTGGATTTCACCATTTCACTGTTTTCTCCTTCTCCGACTCCGTCACCACCACCACCACCATCACTTGCGTCACCTCCACCATCGCCACCTCCGCCACCTCCACTGCTACCACCTCCACGAGCTTCATCTCCACCTCCATTTCCTCCTCTCGCTGATTTTCCCTCTCCTGTGCTATCGCATTCTCCACCTCTTCCTGTTCCTTCTGCGCGATTCCCCGCGTATCGTTACTACGAGCGGGCTGACTGTCATGCGTCGACGGTGGTTTTGATAAGGCGCGACCGTATATCGGACCGTTCTCTCGTCGATAACTCGCGATCGACTCGCCGAACAGTTTCGTTGCGTCGATTATCGATCGTTTTTACTACGCGCGTTTCAGCCTCGCGTTTGAATTTCAGTGATTTTCACAGTTGGTAACTTGTTGTTGGTTTCACTCGGCAGGAAGATTCTTCTTCACGACACACACAGTTCCACGTTACGAGAGTAATCGATCGATTGGTGAACGAAGTGTGACAATTCGTCCCATGGTCTATCCGTCATGCCGTGCGAACATCTCGCCAAACGATCGTCCGTACGTTTCTGAAATTTCCGTTGGATCGCGATCGAAACGATCGCCACGCGATTGCAACAATTGGAGAACTGAAACGTTGGAAGAGCGGTGGTGGTATGGAAAAGGAAGAGGGGAAGTTCGACAAGGAAGAAGACTTGGTCGTTGATGTATGGTGACCGTTGATGTATCGAGACCGAGACCGGGATCGAGAAGAGAAGGATCTCTCCTTGTCGTGTCGATCGATGTTTCGATCGCAGACGCGACACGCCGTTTACGCATGGTCGTAAGAATATCAGCGAGAGTTAGTCGACGGATCAACGCGTGTGCGCCCGTGATTTCGATGCCTTGTCACCGTCGCGAAACCTGCCGCTGTACCTCGACGTTGGAAAAAGCAGCGGCAGGTCGACGTTGTTTTCCTTCGAGCTTCCTTCGGAAAGCATGACGCGATATCACGTAAAAGTAGTCAGCCGTAGTGCACATACCTAGAGAGAAGTGTATATATATATATATATATATATATATAAATATATATATATACGTAGAGAAACGCGGAGGAAGAGAAAGAGAGGAAGAGGTTGGTTTAGTCGCTAGTTTGGCCGATCGGCGACGAAGAAGAAAGTGATCGTCGAAAACATGGGATTCCTTTGGACTACTCGGCACGATCGCTCGTTGTTGCTGGAACGCGCCACTTTTGCCCTCTACTTTCGAATCAAATAGAATCGAGCAGCCTCGCTGCCTTTTCTCTCTCTCTCTCTCTCTCTCTCTCTCTCCTTTTTCTTCTTCTTCTTCTTCTTGCTTACGAGTTAAAGAAAGTTAAAGTTAAAGACGTAAAGTTCTTCGAGTGGACGCTTCGAGAACCGACACACAGAAATGATCGTAACTGGTGGAAACGATCAGGCAATCGTCGGATGACACGGATCGTACTCGTTGTGAGAGTCGATGCTCATTGAACGCGATTCACGCGTGTATCGTGACCGTGACAGGGGCAGAGAGTCGATGGGAAATTAGTCGACGGAGCA